TAAACTCAACCGTCTAGATGGACCACTGACATAACTTGTCAATGCCATTCCTCACAATTAATTTGGTAGCTGCGATAGCCATTAAAACAGGTCCTATATAACGGGGAACTTGCAGCTGCGATAGACTTATAGTTGGAATTGTTGGTTGGTTAGTTGATTATCATATATATATATATATATAGCTTGTAAGCAAGACAATTTCTGACCTCAAATGAGACTGAAATGCCTTTAATTCGGCAGAAACATCAAGCATCTAGTTTCAGTGTAGCAGTGATGAATAAGGATTGCTCTTGGTATTGGGCATTCTTCTTTGAAGATAATGGTGAAGGTACTATTCACTCTTTAATGTGTGGTAGGTTTGCATGTTATTGAGTAGTTGGACTATCATTAATTGGTGTCTATTCTAGTTTATAATTTAATGGTTACTGGGACTATGACATTGTGATATGTATATAGAAAATTACAATTAATAAACGGTGCTTGGCTTTTATGAGCTTCAAGAGCTATACCATCCCAGATTTCTTTTAATATCTTCGACAATCTACTCTGCCCTTGAACACACAATTTCATAAAGATAGATGTTTGTTTAGTGTAATGTGATGTTTGGAATACGTGGATAAACAGCCAATATCATTAAATCCCTGGTTCAATTTAATAGAAATTGTCCATTTTGATCGGGCTCAAACAAGTTTACTTCTGGGTTTCAGTCTTTCACCATGTATATTTCACTTAAAACAATCAACTTAATTAAGGCAACCAAACCCTTATAAATTATGTTTTAAAACCATATGTGATGTGTCACATACGGAACCACTTGTTAACTGACCCGGGCTACAACTCGGGTCAAACGTTTTGGAAAAAATAATTAAACTAGGATGAATTTTGCTATTATTTTATCTTAAATGTGAAATGATCAAATTAAATATAAAATTAGCTTTAACAACTTGAAATTCATATTTGATGTAGACAAATTATTTGAGTAAAATCAATATGACAATCTTCAAATCATTAAAAAGTCCATTAATTTAAACCTCCCATATAGTAATGATTTTATTTTTAATATATTCATTAATACTTTTTTATTTTTTTCAATTCTTCGTTTCTATTATTCCATATCAAATAAATAGAGTTTCTTTTTTTCTTTTACATATAATATTAATCAACTTGTTCTCTTATAGTTGGCAACGTAAGAAAATAATAATAATAATAAAAAAAAAAATTAAGTTTCATGTGAAAAGGCTATTGACCAAAGAAAAATGTCACATACACAACATTTTCTCATAAATTTCCTTTACAACCCTAATGTAACAGTTCGCAATAAGCTTCATATGAGTCCCACCTAATAAATTACAATTGACAAATTATGAGTTATCATGTCAGGATTATAAAAAAAAGTTTGTGAAAAAAAGTTATGGGTGTAATATTACTCTTGAACAAATTTGATGTTTAAGCCTTTAGGTGAGATAAACTTAATGGTTCCACAAATTTATTTCATATATATTTACAATTTTACATTAATCCTTCGTTAGACATTCTTATCCATTTCATTCACATTGCACTTTCCTTCACTTTATTTATATATATAATTAGAGTTTCTTTGGATAAGAAGAAATTGAAAGGTAATACTCGTTTTGTCCTTAATATAGGTATACAATTCTTTTTGGGAGGATATCATAATCTACACTTAAGGTTTCTAAATTTATCATTCGATGACTACTTTTGCACTTTTTATCATAGACTACATTATCTTTAAAGTTTGAAACTATATTATAGATATCCTTTTGTCCCAACTCCGTTATGTTATCGTTTGTGGTAGATGAATGAAATGGTAACTTATAAGAAAGTGTTAGGGTAAAATGATAAATTTGGTTTTATAAGAAATTTTTTTTGCAAACATAATGACAATGTGACAGGGTCAGCGTAAAGGGGTATTTCATTATAAAAATTTAAAACTTTGAGGGTCCATTTGATACTGTAAAGGGTATTTATGATACAGTTTTAAACTTTAAAAATAATCTATCTAAAAAGTGAAGGGTAGTCTATCATAATCTCCTATTCTTTTCTATTAATAAAAGTTCTTGTAACGTGTTTTGTTAAAAATAGTTTAGTTAGCAAAATTTGTAGCCCTCCCTAATAAAATTCCTGATTTCGCCTCGAATATAATATCATTATGACGCGGTGTCCTAAAGCCTAATCCATCCAAAGAGAACGTAAACGAGTGATGGCGAAGGCGAAGGCGAAGGCGATGGTGCAGGTAAGCCCAACCATGATGGTCCCATGACTTGTCCATTTCTGAAATATATAAGTGTCCCACGTTATGTTATTATCTCAATTTTATGTAGTTATAATTTGCACCTTTCCACTTCAAAATCCCAAATTTGTTAAAGGTTTATAACCACTGCCCTGTGGGGGCTGATTCTGATGCGTTTTAATAAACAAACTTGGAAATAAGGAATTATCATAGACAAACTAACCCAACCATTATGAAAAAATAAAAATAAAAAGGGATTCAATATAATATGAAATCTATCTAAATTTATTACGGTTTATAACATGTAAAAATATATTAAAAAAAAAAAAAAGAATTGCATTCGGGTTATGCTTCAAGTAGATCCAACGCTGTTGGACTGTTTATATGAGAGGAATCCCAAAAAAATAGGGTTCATCCATACCCAAAATTCGGTACTGAAGCCCAATAAATAAGGAGATGTATTAATGGGCCTCTTGTTGAGGCAGCCCATTAACAGAAACTATATGTTTTGAGGGTTCTGTGAAAGAAAGTAAGAAACATGGCGGCCAATTGTGGCAGAAGAACCCTACAACTGACTTCTGCTTCAGCTAAAACCCTTCTCAGCCGCTCACCGTCCGCTTCAACGGCGAGTAAATTTACCGGACTAGCTTCTCCCATTAAGCCGACCACTGCTTCTCGCTTGTCATCTCTTCACAAGCGCACCTACTCCAGGTACTTTTGATCAGTACTTATGGGTTTATTTATTTATTTTATTACCATTTTGTTAAGTTTTAATGTTCAGTTGTGTTAAAGTAGTCTTTAAGCTTGAATAAGGATTGTTGTATGGGTTTTTCATTCAGGCTTCCAGTGGAGCTGGGTGGGGCTCTGTCTTTGATGCCATTACATAGTGTTACTGCCTCTGCCTTGTTCACTTCGTTACTGTCTTTGAACAATCAAAACTGGGGTTGTCTCTCTGAAGGTACTCTTCTTTTCTTAATTTTTTATGGCATTATGTTGGTATGTTTTCATCTTAAATGTCTACTCTATGCACTTTGTAACTCTCACTTTGCCAATTTAACAACGGTCTAGAACCAAATAAGGATGATTATGAAAGTGCGAAGGACTATTTGATTAGTTGCAGAACAATTTACATTAGCCACTAAATTATTTAGTTGGCAATTTTTGCTCGGAAATATTTCCAAGTAAAGCGGAACAATTGACATCTAAATTGTATGTTTAATTTATTGTTAGCTTGCTAAAGTCAAACTTTAACATAATAACATAACATAACATAACATATTATAACATAACATACAATGTACAAAATTATTTTTCTTCATCATGATAAATTATTAAATAAGTTATGAAATTTTTTTGTTAAGGTAAGTATTCAGTAAAATATGTTTATTATTATTTTTATAAGATAAATAACTTTGTTGTATCAATATAAAACTAAATATTAAGAAATGTTGGTTATTTATTTAAATAAATAATAATGGAGTAGAAAAAATAATATATTAGAAATTGTAATCTTCACATATTTGTTACTGGCTATCATATCTATTAGATATTATGATTATAGGATTAATTAATGTTAGGAGCACTCAATGAATTTATGAAGCTAATTGGGAACTTACTCATGTAATTCTTGAGTTGTTCTATTAAATTAGAAATTCCTTCTAGATTTGGGGGTGGAGCAGAGTTAGGTGGAGGTTGAGCACAATCTTTCTTCTTTTGAAGTGCAATTCAATACATAAAATGATTGTGCAACATCATACGATGTATGGTGAGTTTGTAGGAAAATTTAATCTCGTATGTCACTACTTAATCCACCCAAGAATCTTGCAATCACTCGTTGTTCAGGATCACCCATCATTGCATTGTGATAGTCGTTAAAACTTATTAGTATACTGTCGACCGGATCTATTACCTTGACAGCAATTCTTGTGTTGAATAATTATCTCAATATTCTAAAGTAAGAAATCAGTAATTCCTCCAATGATAGGCATCACCGATTAATAAATAATCAATAATCCTGACATGTTCTTAGTAAATATTTGTAAAAAAATTCTTCCATATGTTATTGTTGAAACAGCAGCAGAAGAAGAAGATAGACAAACTAGACTACAGAGAAATAGGGAGAATAAAGAGAGCATAGACTAGAGAGAACAAACAGAAAGAGGGGAAAGAAGAAATAGAAGAACTAAGAAAACAAGAGACAATCCATAGGGGAGAAAAACCAATATTCATATTCCATTATAATTAACCATGTCAACACTAACAATAGAAGCCTTTATTTGTTTATAGGCTTAAAAAATAAAATCCTACTCCTAATCAAATAGGAAATAAATCTAAAACCATGTTAGCGCTAAAAAGCTATTGTTGAATCTTATCATTGTCCTTTAAGATTTGTCTCTTTGCATCCTATCATTGTCGCGAAGCGTGTCTTTGTGCTGGGATGAATATACCTATAAGGTGCAGAAAAGAGTGGATATTTAGTTAAAATGGAATTATTTGTTCCTTCACGCTGGTTGTTAGGACATAGGTGAATGTTTTTAGCTTGATACAGGGAAATTAGGGGATAGATGAAGATAACTGAAGTTTCTTAAATTTCTGAGGTGCATTTAAAATTACTTTTAAATTAGAATGCGAGCAGCTGGAATAGTATTGTGCAAAAACTTAATGCACTTTTTATACGTTTTAGATCTATTTTCGTGCTTCTTGTTGGAGTGGAAAATTATACATGTATTTTGTAATGTGTTTTCGGCAGGATTTGCAACGACTCTTTAGCAAGGCTTATGAGCTCTTGCCAGGCAGATTATCATCGTCACAAGAGAAGGTTTCAATGCATGTTTTAGTTCCAACTGTATTATAGATATCCTTTTGCCCCAACTCTGTTATGTTGTTGTTTGTGGTAGATGAATGAAATGGTAACTTATAAGAAAGTGTTAGGGTAAAATGATAAATTTGGTTTTATAAGAAATTTTTTTGCAAACATAATGACAATGTGACAGGGTCAGCGTAAAGGGGTATTTCATGATAAAAATTTAAAACTTTGAGGGTCCATTTGATACTGTAAAGGGTATTTATGATACAGTTTTAAACTTTAAAAATAATCTATCTAAAAAGTGAAGGGGTAGTCTACGATAATCTCCTATTCTTTTCTATTAATAAAAGTTCTTGTAACGTGTTTTGTTAAAAATAGTTTAGTTAGAAAAATTTGTAGCCCTCCCTAATAAAATTCCTGATTTCACCTCGAATATAATATCATTATGACATGGTGTTCTAAATCCTAATCCACCCAAAGAGAACGTAAACGAGTGATGGCGAAGGCGAAGGTGATGGTGCAGGTAAGCCCAACCATGATGGTCCCATGACTTGTCCATTTCTGAAATATATAAGTGTCCCACGTTATGTTATTATCTCAATTTTATGTAGTTATAATTTGCACCTTTCCACTTCAAAATCCCAAATTTGTCANAAGTTTATGTTATTAAATTACTAAATATGCTGTAGTCAAAATGTATTTGAAAATACGAATTCGAAAAGGAAACGTGAAAAAGCAACTTGCTAGTTAAATTCATTGCTTTTCTGCTGAATCTTCTACCTGCGTACTGTTTAATTTAATTGGACTAAAGAGCTCAGAGAAGATAATAAAAATATGGGAACATTATTGTTTGGGTTGAATTTTTAAGAATTGTAATTTATTTTTGCATCAGAAAAAACAAGTATTTCATGTTTGTGGGTTTTAGGAAACTTAGATAATTATTTTGTTTGATATTAAATTAGATAATTCAATCACATGATAAATCATTATAATTAGTTTACTTTTTTAACTTTATGCGAAATTTTTCTTCTAATAAAATAATTTTAACCAATAGTATATTTCCGATACTAAATTTATTTATTTATTATTGTTATTGTTATTGTTATTATTTTATTTTATTTTTTTGTTTTATCATTTTGGTCTAGTATATTTGAAAACAGTGGCCATGTTAGGGTATTTTTCTTGGTTCTGGTCCAGCCCTGGTTAGGCGTGCTGTTGCCAATCTTTTATATCGACTTATGACTTGCAATTGGCATGAAGTTGGGTAATGGTCACTGTCAAGTATCCAATAATCCAACTAATTGAACTGAATCTCTCTCTCTCTCTCTCTCTCTCCGCCACTCTCATTTTCAGTTTTAAACCGTGACCCATACGTCTCCCAAGTCCCAACATCACCGTAGAATATTTTGCTGGATTAAAGTTTTATTAGGGACGTTCAAGAGCATAGTATATCCTCTGGTAATAATTTCTATACTTCCCTGAAGTATAGTATAAATTCAATATTTTAGGCGTAGTAATCAGGTTTCGAGTTATTTACCATTTATCCATTTTAATTCCCAATATTTTTTTCATTAATTAGAAGCAAGGAACGAGGTCAGGTGATGATAAAACTTTATTTACGATGTAATCACGTTTGAGGGAGCATGTTGACTATAAAGTAAAAGTCAAAATAAATCTTACACTGCCTAATATGCTGCCGTTTCTTGTAAAACTGATTACTGTTAAATCAGTTTGTGTAGCAGCTTAATATAAAAGTTGTAATCTCTACTTTACTCTTTAAGAATCAATACAGTAAATACACTCTCTTCTTCCTCTTCGATACTCTCTATTTTTATGCTCTGTTTTTGTTTTCCTTTCAATTGGTAACGTGAGGAACAATCGCCATCCGACAACGGTCATAGCGGGAATGGCCATGGGTAGTGGTCGTGGCTTTGTTGACAAGATGTTGGGGTTAGAACAATTATATTTTAGTTATTGATATTAAATTTTAACAATTATTGAATTATAAAATAATTAAAATTTAAATAAATAGCTGTAAAGATAAAATGAGAATTAAAAAAATAAACTAGGGGTAAATTGGACATTTCAATTCCTAAAATGCCCCAAAATTTTGAGAGGAATGCCCTTCTCCTTTTTAAAGGAACGGGGAATCCCCAGTCATAGGCTAGATGACTCAGACCTAACCAAACCAAAGAAATGGAAAGTCCTTGTCCATTTCGTTGAACCAAACAGAATTAACATTTAATCTAGTAATTCTACATAGTTAAAAAGCGGTAGGGAGACATTGGAATTCGATAAGACTTTAGAATTTAGAGTTTAATGCAATTTCCCTCTTGAGGTTTCATTATTTTATTCCCTCCCTCAAGTATAAGAAATAACTATTTGCCCCCTACTGTTGGTATTCCATTGGGGTTTTGCCATTTAATTCAACAGATTCAATGTTAAATATGTTAGTTAATTAACAAAAACCAATATTACAGTGACAAGAAAAGGTAAATTGTTATTTTTGATAATGAAGGGAAAATTTTATTTAAGAAAACATCAAGGAAATTGTGTGTTTTTTATATGTTATTACCGTAAGTGACACTTTAATTGATAAAAAAAAAAAAAAACATATTTACCTTTTTAGTTTTATCCTTAATTACTTTCAATTTAATAACGTCAAAACTTACCTTTCCAGTGTCAAGAAGAATTATATGCTTGTAATTTAATATCATTTATATTATCACCTTTTTCTAATTTAGAAAAGATCGAATATATATGCTTGTAAGTTAATATCATTTAAAATTTTCCATCAACTGAGAAAACTATTTATTGCTGGTTTGGCCGCTGGCGCCATATGAAAGTATTTGTTTTCTTCCATCAGTCACCATCATATTCTTGGTCGTGCTTACCTTTTATGTTGGGAGTATGTTCCTCTTGTAGAGACATTTTCTCTTTCATATTTATCGCCAAATTAACGATAAAACCTAGCACTTTCGTCGGCTTGTCTTTTAATTGTTAAGATCTATACTTTTTCTTCTTCCGTTGTAATCTAGGAGATTATACATAGCACAAAACTCGGGTAAAATTTTGACGAGATGATAAAAGTCTTGAAGAATTTATGGAGCGGCGTTGGCCAATCTTGACTTAAACAGAATATACATGCAGCAAAGATGGAGTTATATTAAACCACATGGCAAGTAAACGTCTCTCTCTTTAATCCTCTCCAATACTAACTCTTATTAATTATCTTTTGCTGAGTCGTGAAACACATGCATGTATAATTTCCATCACTCGTTTAATCCATTTTAAGTATATGAACTAAGTTTATTAAAACATTTTTAGAAAGTCTCATATAGGACTTGGAAAGAAGACACACAAGATTTACGTGATTTGACTCAAGGAAAGAACCATGAAGAAGAAATAGAGAACCAAAAAAAAAAAAAAAAAAGACAAACAAGATTTATATGGTTTGACAATATGCCGACACTACATGGGAATATTAATTTACTTCACTAGAACAAGAGCTAAATATAATATCAAGAATCTCTCAGTCTCTATACCTATGAACTATCCACAATGTTTTTATGAAGTACTTAAAAAATACCCAATAAATCACCTATTTATAGTTTCTAATACTAAGACTTTAGGAACCCAAAGTGAGTAGGAATCGTAATAAATCAACCTAATCATAGGTGGAAAAGAATCCTAAGCAACAAGGATTCACATCCTATTAAGACTTAATATCCTATTAGGAACAAGACTCCTAATCTAACACACATGAAATTGACAAATTAGATGTTTTTGAAGTTATAAATAATTATACCAAATTTAAGATGAGTTAATTGTATTTACCCCTTTAGGGTGTGTTTGGCCTAGGAAATGTTGTATTATTGAGAATATTATATTAATGAAAAGATAGATTATCTTGAAGATTACTGAGAATATTTAGAGAAATGTGTTTGGTTGGTTGAAATAAATTGGTAGATATGTTATAAAATTACTAAATTGCCCTCATTTTTAAATATTAATATAATATTATTTTATTATTATTTTTTGAATAATCTCTTTTAACCCCCTACATTTCAAATTTAGATAAAACACCTCAGTAACAAAACGAGTTTAAAACTTGACAAAAACACCTCCATCCACTCCAAGCCATTGCTAGCGGCCTGCCACTACCGCCGACAGTGGTGACAGTGGATTTTGGCCCTGAAAGACTAGATATTTGGCAATGAAACGACGGTCGTTTCACAACCAAATATCTGGATTTTCACAGCCAGATCTGGCTGTTTCCGGCCACGAATTTGTGATCTATGGCCAGAAACAACCTTAGTGATGCACAATCGACCAGATAAGGCCAACCATGAGCCATTCCGTCGCTGTCAACGGTGGTTTTCGCAACTAGCAGTGGTGGCCAGATTCTTAAATTCTAAGGGTATTTATGTCCTAAAAACTTTGTATATAAGGATAAAATAGTCAATTGATATTTTTGTAAATTGTTTTTAAATCAAAGGTATTATTGTCCTAAAATTTTATTACTAAGGGATAAAATTATAACAAAAATAAGATTACCAAGTAATCTTAAAATACCTAAGAAAATGGAGGTAATCAGATTACCTCCTATATTACCAATAGTAACTATTATTGATATTGGAAGATTACCGAAATCTTATATTACTTGACAACCAAATGTGATAATAAAGTAATATAAGATGATATTACCTTAGTAATCCAACATTACCTCCAACCAAACGCACCCTTAGGATTTAGCTCTATTGGTCTAAACCTTGGGGTGTAAAATACAAGGATATACTTCTTGAAATTTAAGAAATGGTAGCAATTTTTATATTTTTTATATTATGCCATTCTTCAATCTATACTTATACAATATAAAAAAGAAGAGTATTTTGACTTTTAAACAGAAGAACCATCTCGCTTACTAAAAAATGGAACTAGATGATCAATCTTCTATTAAAAATAACAAAATGGAATCAACCAATTTAATCAGACGATTGTGAAGTCATTGTCAATCAACCTCCTGTGTGCTTTGCGAA